CTTACTCATTAAATATCAACACGCACGAAGGGCGCTGCAAATGTGGCTATCTTATTTTATTCATTAATCAAACCTAGCAAATTCTAGGAGTCCTGGTGTGTCGCTGTGCGTTAAAGCGTTGCACTGCAAAGTCGTTTTGAACCACAAGGTTGGCAGTTCAAGCTTATCAGCTGCTCCTCAGAAACCCTATACAGGGTTGCTATGGGTCAGAAACAACTCGATGGCACTTAACCACCACCACCAATTTTAGGTTAAAATATAATGAACAGAATGACAATATTTTGTCTGGGATGTCTACCCAACTACAATTCACTGAGGCCAAACCCCAACTGGTCCCAGACCCTTGGCATGTATTTCTTTGCATCTCCCAATTCACAGGCCCACGGCTGAGCTCACCATCATCTAAGAGGAATCCCAGAAGCTGTCAATGGAATGTGGGTGTGGATTAAAAAAGCTCTGCAACCACCCTCCCCAGCCCTACCTGGGCCTTCCAGGAGACACTGCCTGATATCTGCTTACATATCTCCATGCTGAGTGTACCCTCACCATCCTCTCATGCTGTCTAATCTTCCTGCAAACTGCCTCCTTTGATATCCTGCTCCAACTCAGTCCTTGGGCCCAACCCTCCCAGTCACTTCCTGGTAGTTTTTACTGGTTATTCGACAATACCTCCTTTATCTCAAGGTAATCATGTACTTGTTGATTGACATAAAAAATAACTACATATAAGCTTACACCTTTCCCAAAAGATGATGAATGTCCTCAGCTCACAGCCTACGTGTGTGAATGGATCCCTTGTACCAGAAAAATGCACATGTGCACTGAATTGAGCATTCGGGTCAGAAGGGTCTGACTCCCTGGAAACCACCACCACAGATTTATAAAAACAGAAAACTGGATAATTAACACTCATCTCACTTGGTATGTTACTATTTAAATTAAAAGACTGTATCAATCTCAGATCCAGGATTACAGATTACCACCTCTCTAGATTCCTGTTTTGGGAGCGCAGTAACTCTGTAGCATAAACACTGGATTGCGAACCATAAGGTCAGCGGTTCAAGCCCACCAGCCACTCCAAGAGAGAAGGATGAGGCTTTCTGCTCCCACAAAGATCTACTGCCTCAGAAGTCCTAGACAGGGTCATCATGAGTCAGAACTGACTCCATGGCACTGAACAACAAGAACAGGTTTGATAGGTCATAAACAAAGTTATCACGGTGAAAATGGACGCTTATGGTCAGAATCTCCTTACCAGCTGAAGGCTGACCACAGACACACTCACTTGCCTTATATAACTGATAGCATTTTACCTTTCTGGTAGAAAGCTCTCAGAACTCTACTATAAGATACATGGCACAGGAAACAGCCTTCATTAGTCTGTACATTTATTTTTTGTGAATAGACAGCTTTTAAAATAAATCATAATCATAGAAATCTGCATGGCATTGGGACAGCCAGTGACACTGAGAAGACACCGAGACAGTCCTTATTTACACAGAAGCGAAGAGACAGAGGGACGAGGGTGGGCACCCCAAGAGGGACTTCACATTCCACAGTGTTTCGGTGGCTTCTGTGATAGCAACAGCAGCAGCATAGGCTGTCTCCCCGTAGATCTGTGGGTCCCTGGACATCCCCCCCCAACCTCCGACCCCGGTGATTTGTTACCCTCAAAGACCCCAGAACAAGCTTCAAAACAAAAGGGCTGGGTTCTTTTGTTACTTGTTTAATGTTAAGTGTTTCTGGCATCCATCAGAGAGCTATCTGAGAAAAGACGAACCAACCTTCCAGAAGTCAGCCATCTGCTCAATAGTTTATGGGTCATCGGATCATTCTGGAAAGTCCTGCAGTCAAACACATGCTTCCTTCACAAGAACATTGTCATAAGACACACATTTTTTTGGAATTGGTTGGGACTTTTGGTGATCTGACCCAACCCCTGATTTTACAGATGAAGAATCTGGAAGCCCAGCAAGTTGACATCACCCAGCCTCAGGCTTGTGTTACTCTAAGTGCTCTGCTCTTTCTGACGCACCACACGCCCTCTCTGTTCTGCTCCATTTCATGGCTTTCAACGAAAATAAATAGTGAAATGAGCTCAGGGGCTTGCTTTACTACAGATTTACTTCTTTGGTAAGAATGTGTTCGTTTCACATCTCTAGGGCTGGAAACAGGATCTCAAGACCAGAGATTGGCTCCCACTTGGGCGGGAGTTACCTCTGGGAATTAAGGCAGTTTTGGGTATTTGGCAACAGACGCCATCTTTCCTTCTTGTCTCAGGTGCATCTGGAATCAAATAATCATTGCACAAACGGTTTACACTTGGCTACTAACAGAAAGGTCAGAGTTGGAATCCACGAGAGAAATTTCTGGTGGTCTACACTTCCATAGGACCACAGCCACTGAAATTCCGAGGGAGTAGGGTTCTACTCTGAGACACATGGAGTAACCCGGCATAGGAATCCTTTGATGGCAATGGACTTAATTTGGTTTTGTTTTTACAAGCTAATGTGATTCTTAAAATGATTCTACATTTCATGGAAAACAATAATTCTTTTAAAACCTGGTAACATAGCAAAAGTGTCCTATACAGTACACAGGAGTATGCCTGTTCTAGGCAATCTCCACTATTTAAAAAAACAAAAAACAAAAAACCACACACACAAAAACAGCCCACTCTCCAATAAGCCTGGGTGGAAAGGTGAAGCCAGAGGTGTCCCAGCACCTTCATGAGAATTTCCATGAACGTCCCACCCCACCCCACCACTAGGGGCCCTGGACTTGGAGCCAGTTTCCTCTCATCCCACCCCAAGCTTAGGAGCCAACTTCCGCCACAAGGCAGCACCATTTTGTTGGTTTGATGCTGGTTCAGCTAGCACCACATCTCTGATCCCCCCTTGGGACAAATGTCTGGAGACAGAAGGGCCTCACACAGATGGCGAGAAGAAAACTGCAGACTCCCTCAGAACTGTGCCCTGTTCTCCTCCACACACACTTTCAGGATGTTTCCTCTCATTCCAGACAAATGGGCTCAGCTTTTCACACCCCATAGTTCCAAAGAGTGATTATTTCCATCAAAAGAGAGTCACTAAATAATTTCCTTTTTGGCAGCCAGCTAAATGAGAGTAATAATGACACCACCACCACCACCCCCTTCTTCCAACACATTGTTCTTTTGCTAAGAAATGCTTCGTTGCATTTCTTGATTGGATTTTTTTTTTCTTTTCCTTTTTAAATGACAGCCTTGGGTGGGCTGACTCGTACTGTACTGGGTGTTTCAAGTCTACTCTAGGCTGGAGTCAGGGAATCCAAATTAAGGGTCTGACTTGATCCCTTAGCTGAGAACCTTTGAGCAGGAATGATTTTGAATTTGTTTTGGGCCCAAGATTCCACAACAGGGCCTCCCACATGCAGGATGAGAACTAGGAATGCAGTTTCTAGCAGACACTTGAACAGACTGAAACCATAAGCAGAAACACAAATGGAAGCCACTAATTTTCCAAACCAGAATCTTCTCTGAGTCAAAACTAACCACCACTACCACCCCTAGAGGGCGCCATTTGTAAACGTGTAACCTAAGTCCTCAAGGAGCTCTGGTAGCGTAGTGGTTACGAATCGGGCTGCGAACCATAAGGTCAGCAGTTCGAAACTACCAGCTGCTCCGCGGGAGAAAGATGAGGCTTTCTACTCCCATAAGGATTTACACCCTTGGAAAC